AGCAGATTACTGCCTGCCAGGTGTGTGGACTCTCCATGGTCCAGTGAGACCCTCGGTGGAGCCGATCCATGATGAGGGCGTCACGTGATTGGGTGAAGGAGAATGTCCCAGACAAATAGTCCCACATCGGCTAGGTGTAGGGCCGAAAAGCAGTATTTAAGTCTTGGGCTGCCCACCTCTCTCAAGGGCTCTTTTGTGAGGTGACAAGTGGTATCAGAGCAGATTACTGCCTGCCAGGTGTGTGGACTCTCCATGGTCTAGTGGGACCCTTGGTGGAGCAGATCCGTGACGAGGGTGTCACGTGATTGGGTGGAGGAGAATGTCACGGACAAATAGTCTCACATCGACTAGGTGTAAGGCCAAAAAGCAGTATTTAAGTCCTGGGCTGCCCATCACCCACAAGGGCTCTTTTGGGAGGTGACACTATGCTTCATTTCCATCATTTATTTTGGATATGAAAGGATGGTTGGTACTAACTAGAGGGGTTTTCCATAAAAATTAGGACAACCAAATATTTTATTTCAATAACTCAAGCATTGTAACTCAAATACGAAAAGATAAACACCTATAATTCGAGAGGTAGACGATATCTTCCAAACTCTAATCCTAAGACTTAAGGCAACAATCTCATAGAATAACCTAACCCTTAGTATAATAACCCCTATTTATACCCCACAATGATAATTAACAAAGGACTGAATTGCCCTTTTAGCCTTCTGCCTTACAGAAGTCTTCAAATTCTTTAGCGGGCTGGGGTCGTTCTAAAAGTACTTTCCTCCCGAAAGTCACGTTGTCCTCAAGGTGAAATAAGTAAAATTGTTGCTGAATCAAGTAGTATGGCTTCCACACGACATTCTCATTTGATAATTCTTTTCATTTAATCAGAAATTCGTAGTGAGCATTATGAATTTGAAATGCAGCTTTGTGTACATTCTTCCATTACATCTGAATTTATTGGTACATTGACTTTAAGTCAATATTGGAGGATATTGCAGCCCAAAATAACTCGTCCAATAACTAATCATTTACCAAGATAGAAAATTTGTCAGGTGTTGTTTCCTCCTTCACTGCTCGATAATCCAAACAGAAGCGCCAACTTATATTAGTCTTCTTCACTAACGAGACTAGGCTAGAGAAGGAGTTCACATATGACTGTATGATTCCCACCTCCAACATCTTTCAGATCCTTCTCTTGATCTTGTCATTCTATGCCTAGGAGTAACGATATGAGCTCACACTGATAGGAGAAACCCTCAATCTTAGGATTATTGCATGCTCGAGTCCACTCCCCATTCCTTCACTTGATCTTACTACACCAGATTTGCTTAAAAAAATGATGTTGCCCTAATGTTACGCTAGTCCTGATTTTTTCCGCTCTAGTCCCTTCCAGACGCCGTCGCTCGATCCTGTGGTAGGCGGAGGTGGTTGGTTTGAGTGAAGCTCCTCAACCTTCTTCATAATTTCTTTCAGGGCCATGAATCTCCCCTTCATGGCTGAGAATATGCCCCTCCATGCCCAAGAAATGCCCCTCTATGACTGAGAAACACTACTTCATTTCAGGCGGAGGCGGCAAATTTTCGAGTAGCTCCACAATCTTCTTCATCATTTCTTGCAGAACAGTGAATCTCCCCTCAGACTTATCCCTCAATGACTGAGAAATGTCCTTCTATTGCGAAGAAACACTCCTTCATTTCATATCTGATTTGACTCACATTTTCCTTTAATTTTTCTCTTAGAACATCTATTTTCTTTGCCGTCATTAATCTCACGACGATTTTTAATCACGAAGTAGGTCGCGATCCTGTCACTGACTTCCTTGCTAAATTGAATTGCGACTATACCATGATGTTCAGTCACATTGGAGAATGTATTGCGTGGGTTCTCATCGATCTGGAATGTTTCACGTGCCCTTCCGTCCCAGATAGCTCGATTCGCGACTTCGCAATGTTCAATCACTAGGGCGCGCTGCGACACACCGCGATCTTGTTTTGGGCTTCCAGTGATTGTATTGATGCAATATTTCTGTACGATTCCGATTACTAAGTTTGGCACAAAACTCCTGTATGGTCACGATCCTATCGTTTTCTTCCCAAGTAGCTTGTGATGCAGTCAGAATCATGAGTTCGATCTCTGTACTCCACGATCCGGTTCTTTGCTTACCAGAATCAAATGCTTTCGTACCGATTTGATAGGAACCAGAGGGATTTTCCACATAAATTAGAGAAACTAATTATTTTATTTCAATAACACCAAGTAAGACAACTCAAATACATAAAGATAAGCACATACAATTCAAGAGGTAGGCGATTTCTCCCAAATTCAAATCCTAAAACCTACAATTTGAGATGTAGGCTATCTCTCACAAACTCTAATGCTAAGACTCAAGACAACAATCTCATAGTATAACCTAATCCTAAGCTTAATAAGCCCTATTTATACCTCACATAATAGCTAATAAATGATTAAATTGTCCTTTTAGCCTTGCGCCAAACATAAGTTCTTAGGCTCGGCGTAATAATCGTCTAACATTATGTTCTTAAAAGACATGTTCTAGAATGTTATATTTGTTCCTTCATATTATCTTGGTCCTGTTGGTTGTTTTTGATTGACTCAAAGTTTGAGGAAATGCAAAGTAGGACATAATCCTACGGCTAGCCCATCTAGTTGGCTCCTTGGTGCAACTCTCTCTTTTTCTTCCCACCTTTCCTTGTACTCAACTACTGCAATAAAGATTTAATGCTGCTCTCATTGGCTCAATTTTGTTGAGTAGATTCTTGGCCCAGTGGAATCGCAAGTGATCTTGAGACCATAAGTGATGAATTATTTTTGGTGTAATGAGGGTGAAAATTTACAACCCATGGGAGCAAAAAGGACTCTCATTGAAAGTGTGGAAGGTTAGCAATTTACTAATGAGGGCCATCTTATTAAGAACAGTGCCACCGAAGGCATTAGACATGAACCACTTCCAAAACAAAACAAGAGTTTAACTTAACGTTTCAGAACTTTCTTAACTAACTGTAATATGATAGCTAAATTTATGGATGTGGTAGGTGAAGATTACCTAGAAATCCTTATTGTTCTGTAAATAGGCATTCCTTACATGGGGACATTGTACCAATTCCAAGCCATTAAATCCCTAAATTAGAAGAGCCAGCCAAGTATAGTTGCAAGCCTATTTGAGTAGGAACCTATTTTTCTCACTTCTCCTGCAAGATGCTTTGGTGCGTCTATGATATCTTCCTCATTCCTTCAGTTCCCTTTCCCTGTATTCATTACTTCTGCATATAGGTTTCTTTTCGTGCTCTGTCTCGACTTACTTTCCTTCTTGAATTGATCTTGGCTTAGCGAGATCTTGAGTACTTCTAAAGCCCTGATTGAAGAGTTAGATTTGGTTCTAACTCTATCCTTTGCCTTTTGATCCACAAAAAAAATCTTTATTTATAGGACAATAAAACTTCGCTCCAGATTCATGATTGAAATCAAAAAATGAACTCTCGGTTCAACCGTTTCTCCAGAACCAGTAGATATTGTCTCTCATGGATATTTTAAGCTAACCATGCACATGTGTCCTTACATGGGAAAAGTCATAAGTGCCTTCGTTGTTTTTTTGTATATTGCAATGAATGTTCTTGCATTTTCTGTAAAAATTTGCTTGTTTTCACTGTTTAGGTTGCTGTTTGTTTTACTTCTTTAAAGTCAATCTTCAAGTTTTTGAACTTTGAAATTGATTTGTAAAATCATCAAATATCTAAAGCTACCTAATTATCCAACAGATGCTCTAAAACATCAGTATTGTATAACCATATAATGTTCTTGCAATGAATGTTCTTTGAAAATTATCTCCAACAGATGCTCTAAAACATCAGTATTGTATAACCATATAATGTTCTTGCAATGAATGTTCTTTGAAAATTATCTCCAACAGATGCTCTAAAACATCAGTATTGTATAACCATATAATGTTCTTGCAATGAATGTTCTTTGAAAATTATCTCCAACAGATGCTCTAAAACATCAGTATTGTATAACCATATAATGTTCTTGCAATGAATGTTCTTTGAAATTATCTTTCTCACTGAAGCCCTTTCTTCTCTCAGGGCTTACAAGTTCAGCAATAGCCAGTAGTGCATTCACTTGGACTACCATTTCTGTGCTTCCTTTTTATACGCTTATGGTTTTTGCACCTAATGCTGCTCTGGTAAGTGTAAATATGTTATTATCTGTTTTCTTCTGTTCAGTCGTCATGACCATAAGAAAGAGACAGTCCAGCGAATATATTTTTTTCCTCAAGAAACTACATAATTTTTGCAATTTTATTTCATAAAAATGCAGACTAGAAGGGCTATGAAGAGCAATTTTCCTTATGTTGTGCTTGGGCTTGTGTATGCATTCCTTCTCTATCTCTCATGGTCTCCTGACACATTGCGGTTGATGTTTGCTAGTAAATACTGGCTCCCGGAGGTAAAGTCTCAGTATTGAAGGGAATGGAATGAATTTACATTACAATTTCATTGATCTTGTTTCAAGTGTAAATTATAAATAAATTTTCTATGAAATATGAATAAGTGCATTCTTCTATTATTAATTTTTATTTCTGTCCAAGAGAAAAAAATAGAAATATATTATCCTGTTAAACAAAAACGTGAATTCTCATAAAAAATACATCAAAAAAAAAAAAAAAACTTTTTACTCATTTTCTCGAAAGCTTAACAAGTGGATTAAAACTAATTTCAATAGAATTCCTTCAAATTCCATTTTTTTTTATTTTCATTTCCTCTCTTTTTGTTCCTTCAAACAAAAGGAAAAATACATTGATATGTACCTTATCTATTTAAAAGTACTGATAACTTTATAAATGAAAGCACAGCATAATGATTGCATTTACTGAATTTAGAATTATATCTTTCAAAGCTACTTACTAATTTTTCTGTATCATGCAGTTACCTGGCATATCAAAGATGTTTATGAATGAAATGACTTTGGTTTCTGCATGGATTCACTTGCTAGCAGTAGACCTTTATGCTGCAAGGTTCTTTTTCATGATAATTTGGATGCCGCGTTGCAAATTCAATTTCTTAGGCTTTATTTGGGATTAATTTTATTTTAATTTTAAAAACATATTTGCTTAATGCATTTATTATATATTTTTATTTTATTTTGAAAAATAAATTAACTTATTTTTAAAAACACTTAAAATTTCTAAAAATTATTTTGAATTTTCTTAAAAACAGCTAAACATGTTATAACATATCAAACTAAATTAAAAAAAATAAAAAGAAAAAAGATAAAAATTAAAAGTAATCCCAAATTAGCTCTTATGAAAATGTCTTTTCTAATTTTTAATGTGTTTTTTTTATTTGAATACAATGTACATAGCATATTGATATGCAATTATCTTATGCTTTTCAGACAGGTTTATTTTGATGGTATCACGAACAACATAGAAACTCGGCATT